TCTACTTAAACTAAAGTTATAAACTAAAGTTAACGATTGAACATGAAGCCACATAATTAATTTCCACGGCTAATAAATACTCCCGGAGTTTCCAAATCCCTAAAAGGTTTATTTAGATAAACCTCGAAGGTTTTGTGATCGATTTAGAATGGAATTGCTCATAGCAAGTCCTCGCTTTTCTCGTTGAGACAAAATTCTTGTGGCACGAGACAATTTTTAATGAAGAAATACAAGTGCGCAGCTCGTGGTTAATAACACGGTAACGGGCGTGTAGAACGGCAAAAATATCGCGACAGATCCGTGCATAAACTCGTTTTCAAAGTCTCTCGCAATCTTTTTCAATTAAAATCCAGCGGACGTTACCTTACATTTCGCGGCGATGTGTGAATCCGATACGTGAAAACGTGTATCGCACCGTTGAAAAAAAAAAAAAAAAAGAACGTATAACAATTCCATCGCAAAATGAACAGAATCGCGAAAGAGTCGCGGTGGAAAACGAAGTATTATATTACTGATATGACATTTTTCGCCTTCCAGCGTTTGGCGTGGAAGCGTCATAAAGACCAAAGTTGGTCGATAATTTCCAACCATTTTAAATATGCTTTCAGACTAGTTTCACGCGTACATGATTTTTTTTTAAACAATTTTGTATGAAAGATTTAATTGTATATACATCTATATAAAATTAACTTTGTAAACTCGATTTTTATACCAGTAGATCTTCGATGAAGACGCCTCAAAGCTAAGAAGTAGTTAATGAAGTTTCTCTATTGACGTCATAGAATGATCGACTTTAAAAATACACATCATGTATCTACCACGTACATCTGAAAAAGTTGGGTGAAAAAGTATCACGCGCAGAACCGTGGCTGGAACATACAACAATTTTCCGTTATCGATATTGTTGCCTTGTATCACGAATTCACCAGCAGACGAGAAACGCCCAAACATCAATTGTTGCGGGCGCGCAGGAACCTTTTTCGGTCGGCCGTCTATCGTCATATCCATTTGCATAATTTCTGCAATTAGGAGAGTCGCTAATTAACGAAAATTAACCGTGTGCAATGTTATCGTGCGGTCCCATCACCACCTACTACCTATTGAGTGGTTCCTTTGACAAATTGCTATATTAATGCACGAGTGTCGTAGAACAACGGATACAAGAGCACGCCGAGGATCAACGGTCCTGTCGATAAAAAGCGATCCGAGTTTCGTGTTACGTGACCGTTAAACAAAAACAGTCGTTCTTCGTCGACTTACCGAAGCTCGTTAAGGGCCATTTACCTTTCCGTCGTAACGATTGTCGAGTGTATGTGTTTGATACAGAAAGAAATAATTCAAAGTACAGAGAAACGGAAGGGTGGAAAGAAGGCGAGTACAGAAAAAGGGGTTTGACGATTAAAAGTGAAGAAATGAATAGCTAAGAAAAGTCATGATTTAAGAATGTTCGAATGTAAAGCATCAAATTTATTTTCATCTCGATAGCGCGTTATCTCCGTCCCTTCTGATTATAGTATGCAAAATCGTCGATGAAAGCACCCCGGAAGAAGCTTTGAGAGTTATCTCGCGTGCCACGTTATCAGCTGTGTTTTGATACTCGATGGGTTCATCGTTCAATCGATACCGATCAAATTGGCGAATTGTCTTCTACCTAAACACCGTGGAACATTACTGAAATCTAAATCGAATCGCTCCGACACCTGATGCATACTTCACGAACGCCTTTAGATATTTGCACGTTAAAAGAATTCGTTCGTGTTGCTGATACTTCGATCTCAATGATATGTCCTACTCGTTACACGTGGGTGGTGTGTTTCGAGATTCGCTAAACGTTTCCGCGTCGCTCCAAATACTTCAGGTAATATCCTCCTGGGAAATACCCGGAGCCAATTGGAAATTGATTAAGTAACTCGGATTGGAAACACAGCAAACTACTTGGAACCACTTAATCGCGATGGTTCACGTAGTATCTGGACAATAAGAATTAATCGAATATCTCGATATTTTCTTGATAGGCTGCGTTATTATGTGTAGAAATTAATGTTGTATCGTTATATTGAATCGTTTGTAATTGAATTTTAAGTAGAGACATTTACTCGTCATTTTACTACTTCTACATTTAATTTTGCAACTATATGAACTCTCTTGGAATGTATGGCTGAGGGAAGATTCAAAGTTGTATGGTTTTTCTTTATAATTAAATAGAAAGTTTACTTTAGAAAGCCACAGAATAAATTTCTACACCGGTTATTTAAAAAAAATATTGTTTCATTCGATAAATGATTCCTTTAAGATCTAACAACAAGTGATATCGAATTAACCTGATAAGGATTTACAAACGAAATACGAGGTGTGCGCAACGTGATCGTCGGGATCGATTTGCTTTTATTTTTTATCTTGTTTCGAACGAGATAATTAATGAACACGAAAATATAATCAATATAAACTGTTTTCCATAATTGTAGTTTCTAACATCTGCGATACTACCCACGTGTTCGAGAGGTATCCTGTGTATATGTAGGTACAGAAATGTATGATGTAAGGACGATATCACACAATGCACTAACAAGGAACATCCGCGAACTTTACCACCCCAAAGTGGCAGTAATCCAAGTTTAAGGGCTGAAACTATTCTCCAAAGTTTCAGCCTCTAATGCTATCGTAAAAACGATTGGAGATGTAAGAAGATACTTAAACAAATTCTTAATTTATGTAGTAATTTTTAAGATAGCATGTTTGAAATTTTGAAGGGTAGTTTCCTCTCTTAAACTTAATATAAACAATAAAGGACATGTACAAAATATATTTCATGAAATAATATAATCACGTTAAAATTGAATTTTCTATAAGTCTATCGTACAGTCTATACCGTATACATTTTTTATTTTTGTAGACGTCATAAATGCATCACATCTATTCGTGACGTAGCATCGCAGTCGTAAATATCCCACAATCTATAGTTGGAAAGTTTATCCTCGAATGTTGTGTTTTGTATAGAATTTACGCGAAACTTTCGAAGGCGTCGGAAAACGGACATGCAACGATAACTTCGACTACCTACTTCATCGGGAGGATGCAGAACTTCTTCGAACTCGTTATCCTCAGCGAATTCGTGTCCGTCATAAACACACGGTAGCCTAAATCTTGAAACCTGCCCACGCGCCACTCCCCGTCCGCGGTATTTTCCATCGGACAAGACTGTTAAGCGTTGCACCCTAGCGAATAACAAGACCACGGTGTCAACAAGAACAATTTGCCGCAAATTGGACCCAGCGACCACGATCCAGTTCCTCTTTCGCCTTTGTCGCGCTGAAAATAAATGGAGATCTGATATCGATTTTGAATGAGAACGTCCTACCCTCGCTCAACGAACTCAACTCGAAGATCGCGAAATTCAGCGCCTTTGGTCTTCGTTATAGCAAATTTACGAGATGCCCTGTCGATTTTTGAAATCGTTTGTGGCTTCGATCTTCGTAATGCAAAAGTCGAGAAAAGAAAAACTTTGACGTGAAAGTTCTTGCTGTAAATGTCTTCAGCCTTTTACAGACCTTAACAACTTAACGCTTACTTATAATTAAATAACTAATCTAAATAAAAAAAAAATATATACATGTCGAATTGAGTAACCTCCTCCTTTTCGAAGTCGGATAAATAAATAAAAATGATGGAAAATTATGTTCACAGGTTGTGGCGTTCATTCAACGATGCATGATTGTTGTCGCAATTTTTCTTTGCTATTTTTACGTTCAGGGTGAAAACGTGGACTGCGAGTTAGTATATTTTTTCATAGTTTATCCTGTAAGAAATTATTTAAATTCGTCCGCAAGCATACTAATCGTGCGATTTGTCAATTTCTCTAGGTTGTATCCATTCCATCAGACTTGCAGAGGTACGATGTCCAGGAAACGTGCAACATTTCCGATCTTGTATAGATCGGGTTGCGATGGAAGTAAAGGTGGTTTAAACTGCCTCAGAGAATACGAGGACAAGGCTCGCATTGCCTATGTTCCATTGTCGAAATCGAAACTGTTGATTGCTCTGCTCGATAACGTAAGTCGTTTTACATCGTAGTCATGATTTAGTAAATGAATATATAGACAAAAATTATACTGTAAACTACTATTCTGTCGTAGGATCTGCCAAAGGACGTAACATATACGGCGCGTCATAGACAAAGGAACAACGTAATGGACGAACGGAGGCCTCTCATGGAGAACTTTTTGTCAGAATTGGAATCTTCGGACATCAACTATTAAATGGACTGATCAAGAAAAAAATATTTGCTCGACTCGCGCGAACATTTTTCATTAATCGAATTTTCAAAAATGCGTGTTTTGTCCTATTTCTATACTGTTTACACCGTATAAAATTCTCTCTGTTTCTTCCCAGCTCTTCCAAGTCTTTCCAACTAACTTTACCGCTCACACCCCTTTCTTCTCATCTATCCTTGTCCTTTACACGTTCCTGGACTGAGATATAATTGAAACCATTGTATTCACGTTATTAACAATACACTATATGCTACAGCATCAGAGAATACATTTGAAATTCGCAACAATTCCTTAGACTGTCCTATTTAAAAGAAAGTACGAAATTAACACGTGTCGATAAAATCGAGATTTACTACATATGTTATACAATCGCCGTGCAGACATATATCACAAACTAAGCTCTTGTACATACATAAACGATTTAAAAACGGTTATTAGAGGAATATCTTTGTTATGTTCAAAAAAGGAAATACAGTCAATAAACAAATTTATTTCTAGAAAATTTCGTGCGTTCTTTATACATTTAAATAAGTGTATATGTATACATAAGACGTGGCTACGTGAAACTACTAAAATGAATCGTGACATTTTGAATTTGACATGTTCTATAATAAATTATCGTACTCGTGTATTTGGCTGTACAGACTTGCTGTTCGAATGTAATTAAACCCTTTTCTGGAACGACAAATGTACACAATAACATTTAGTATTCGCTTAAATATTAATAACAATCACGGTTCAGAATAAGTTTTCATTTGAAGATATTAATCGTGAGAAACTTTTCTATACTTTGATATCTATTGATTGAAACAACTAAAAATTAATCGGCTGCGAAACAGTAATAAGATCTTTAGATGTAAGAATAAATATTACATTATGAGATTATAAGAAAAAGAAATTGTCCTTTGTATAACTACGATATGCTTTACATGTGCATTCACCAGGTTCAAAAGCTTCTCTTGTTCAATGTTTTTTTTTTTGTCAAAAATATTTCGAAAGAAAGTCTAATCACCCTGCTTGTTACATAACATGTGATAACATGGATGATTTATGAACAGAACAGTTTCTACCGAACATGCGTAGAAGTCAAATGCACAGATCGTTGATATAATCTGCTTATTTCTTTCGATTAAATTATAGTTCAGAATTGAAAGGATTTTCAGACGTACATTCAGGAAATCGTAGTTTTTGTGTGAATTCAAAAACATGAGTGTCATGGCAAAAACAATTACAAGTTGGAAACTTAATCTTGTTCAACCATTGATTTTAAGGTTATGTAACAAAAGGAACCGGATACCATGCATTAATATTATGTCGAAAAGAACATTATTTATATTACAAAGATTTTCAAAACAATATAAACATTTCTTTTTATATCAAAAACAAATGCAAGCTTTCATGAGCGATATAAAACCAGTTAAACTTCCATGCATTAAGTCGTTACCTGAGCATGTACAAATGCATAGAATATTGGAAAATTCTATTCATTACTCAAATACTATTATGCAACCCATTAAAACCAAAATAAGTATTACCTCTGATAAAATGGAAACGATACGTAATACGGATTGGTCATCGGAATCTCCAGAAAGTTGTTACCATGCCTTAAAGAAATTAGCACATTGTTATTTAAATGGATTTCAATTTGATAATGAAACATACGATAAGATTCTGGAAGCCTGCAGAATGAAACTTCATGACTTAAATGATAGTCAAATACAGAATATAATGCAATATTTGATTGTATTAAATAACGTGCTTAAACCTTTAAGTAGTTATTCAAATTTTATATTTGCAATAAGTAAACAATGTTTGAAACGATTCTTTAGCTCAGATATTAGGGAAATGTTATTCATGATCAGTGGATTTTATCTCATTGAAGCATATACATCTGCCTACATGTGGCGTGCACTCAGAAAATTAGGTTCTAAGTGTTATAGACTTACAGCAAAAAACTTGGTTCAATTTTTACTGTATTTAAGCGTATCCAATGTTTCTGATATAAATATGTTTGACATTGAATGTTACTTAGATGAATGTATAAATGACCTTACTGGGAATGAAATAGGCATAGCTGCAAGAGGCTTTTTTATGAATGAAACAAAAATTCATCTTGTATCATTAATGAAAAAGATAATAACAGTAGCTGGAAATAAAATTCAAATTATGGATAATGTCTGCGTGGGAGCAGTTATGAAACTAATACGGTCAGAAAACAACATATAGTAAATAATTATTTGTCAGATCAATACTTTTAAAATACATATTATGTTCGTAGGTATAGCGATTGTTCTGAATCTAGAATAGCAGTTCGTGATATGCTGATATTATTGCGTCCTGAAATAAAGAGATTACCATTAATATCTTTAACACATATTTCACATGTAGCTGGAGGTTTACGTGTGTATGATAAAATTTTGTTAGATGATATTGCTAAGAGGTAGGTTACATAAAAGAATGTTAATACTCATATTTGTATGCAAGAAAATTAATGTTTAAATTTAATTTAGAGTGGAAAATGAATTTGAATCTGCAAGATTAAAAGATATTGAAAGAATTATTTATGCTCTGTGTACAGTCACTCCTGGTACACAGTACCAAGATACATGTTATAAGATTGTGGATAAATTATTATTAAGTTATAAAACTGTTAGAGCAAACGAAATTAGTTAGTAAGTATTTCTTTGTTATATCAAAATAATATTCTAATAGTATATATAATAATAATCTATAATAATATATACCATATATTCAGTTTTCCAACATCATTACTACGTATTTTACAATTTTTATCATATAAAAATATATATCCAGAACAATTATTTGCTGAGGTAATGGATCCTAAATTTGTACAAACAATACATAGGAACAATATAAAATATTTGAGTGATGAATTATTGAGATTGCATTGTTCTATAATAATTGAAAGGCCTAATTATACAGGTCCGTTTCTGAGTCATGAGGTATATTCGTGTTTAATAAAGGTATGATGTGATATGGAAAATTAATCATCTATATTTAGTGTTCAGTAATTAAATATTATGAAATAAAAAAAATCATTATTATTGTTCCAGAAACATTGTCACAGAATTGATGTGGCTAACAGACATAATACTGTAAAAGTACATAATGAACTTATGTACTTGCTCAAGGTATTTTTACAAAAACACACAAATTATTAATTTGATAAATGATAAAGCAAATACAAATTTTAATGCATTAAATTCATTTTAACAGGACAAACTGGGATTAAATACATATATTGATTTTGTTTTACCTCACTTTTCGTTTAATTATGTTGTTCTTGGTTTTGATGAACATAACAATTCTGTTGATGTTGAACCTATTTTATCAACAATGAAACGTGGTACAATTAAACGTGTAGATACTGATGATTTAAAGAAACTACAATGGAAAATATTAATCCCATTAACTAAAAGAAATAAAGTAATTGGTTACGATGGTTATACTAGTCATGTATACACAATCTTCAGGCAACTAAAGGCTATTGGATATACACCACGTCTAGTAATTTCTCAAATTGTTTTTCGTAATAAATAATACATTGATATAGAAATTGTATACATACATTAACTTTATTGGTATTTTTACAGGTTAACTGTTTCGAGTGGGAAGAATTTACAACAGATGATGCAAGGTGTAAATATTTACACCAATTAATTTTCGACAAAAATGATTCTGATCATATGGAAAAACAGAGTTTGCTAGGATAGAATCATCGATAACATGTACATTTTTTAAATTTATATTCATTCATCTCAATTTTCTTCATGTAAACTTTGATAGGTAAGTTAATAGGTACATACTATTGAATACTGAACGTATTTATTATACTTTGTTGTATTGTTTACAACAATGTGAAGATATATGTTTATATAATAAGTATGAATTTATGTACATATATGTAAGTATAATTATTAAGTAAACATTTTTACATTTCATATAATACACATTAATAAATATGATTTCCTTTATCAATATGTATCAAAATAAGTATGCATAAATTTCTTAGAGTATTCATAAGTCACAAATAATGTTGCTGTTGCTGGTATTGTTCTGATTAATGTTGGTTTTAAACCATTGTACAAAGAACCAACACCTTCATTCCTGATGATGTCTTTCATAACTACTAGTGCTGGTGCTTTTATATTTTTTACCTTCAAACATAATTAAAATTTAAATATAAGACTGTTTGATTTGGCGATCCTAACTTAAATTTTATTTGTTGCAATTTACATAGATGTATGATTATATTCACACTTATATGTAAGCGTACATCTAGTACACTTGTGCAAATAGAATTTAAACACAATGAAAATATATGTATGTGTACTTGCATGCATGTACGTATTGTGAATATTTTAATAGACAACAGAACTAACCTGTATTCTACTTTTAATTACGTCCGCTGGAAATATTACGAGCCATAAAACAGTACCACCCACAGCACCAGCTATCATTGTTTTTTGCCATCCAATATCGTTTCTACTTTGATTTGGTTTCGCCAAAAGTTCTCTCGTGATTTCATAACCTCCAAAAAAAAAGAAATATCCAGGCATTTCCCGTGCTATGGTCGATGACAAACCACTAAACATGCCTCTTATTCCTTGTTCTTTAATAATTTGTTTTGTCAGTGTCCATGGCCCAATTTGTTTCTAAGAAATAACCTCTTCAATTGCTATGTATACTTTTTTTGCATTATTTTTATTTTTTATTCTAATTACCCTAACTGCAGTCAATGGCATTGCCATCTCACTTTGAACTTCTCTCATTGCTTGTAATTTGCATTTTATAAGCTCCGTTGGGCACAATGTTAATGAAGAAAAAAAGGCAGCAAAAAATCCAGCCCAAGCATTCTGAAGGGAAGTTAAATCCTCAACCTTTTTGACACCTACATAATAATATTCTCTTTCGAATAAAAGACTTAAGTTTAGACTAAAATCTTAAAACAGATATACTACCTAACAAGTTAGATATAACTTTTTGACATCCTCCGTATGCTGCAAAGAGTACTGAATTTTCAGCAACATTAGCAACCAAGGCAGGGACAGTTCCTGCATACAAACCACGTGTTACTCCATCCATTTTAAATGTTTGCATAAAACAATTTACCATTCCCTTGTACATGGAAGGAAATGTTTGCATTTTTACCTTAACAGTATCTAATGGTTGTCCAACATACACAAGTGCTGTTCCACCTTAAAACAAATATAGAAAATAGAATTACAAACAAAAAATTAAACATAAAAATTCAAAGGCAATGTGTTATTTATTTCTTGCAATCTTTTTACTATATAATCTCTTCTAAAATTATTTTAAATTACCAAGTGATCCAGCAACAAAATCAATTAAACCTGCCCTTAGATTGTTTAAACGCTGATTTTCTGTGTATTCGAATGTCATTGTTATGTTTTTAAATTAATAAACGATTCTTAATTCCTCAACGAAGTAATAGGTTAGCATGTGATTCTACTTCAAGTGTTTGCTATCAACTGGTTCTTGGTTGATAAGAAAAAAGAAGACAATTCATTTATTCATTATAAATCACTAATACTCTGTCCATACTAATTCTATGTACTTCGGTTTTGTCAGGTTTTGTAAGCATTTATTTACACATGAATGGTAGTGGGAGTAACTGCACATTTGGATATACATATTTCGTACACATGCGCAAGCGCATACATGTGTGCATGTAATTGATAAAGAGACAAATTATTCATTGATCGGTAACAGTGAATACATAGCAACGAATCTATATAAACATGTATATTCTATACACATGTATTTACTAGAGTGTAAAATTGATTTCTGAACGATAAATTCAATATCTTATTCGAAACTAATATACAATTACAATTTTTATATTGTGTGAGTATATTCTACAATGTTATATTTTAAGGATCAATTTTCGAGAAATTGTTTAACCTAAAATTTAACTTGAGAATGTAAATAGATTTATTCAAATATAATAATTACAATCTGAAGGAAAATATAGACAATATATATACAAGACAATCATTGACATAAACGATATAAAATCGTGAGACAATCATTTTGACATAATTGCTATTTTACGTGTGAAAACTGAAAACGCTGGAGTAAATATCATATGGTTGCCATAGAAACGCAGTGCTACATCTTTAAAATCCGATGTTACTAAATTAATATCTCTATAACTTCAGATCGATTATTATAAAAAATTTGGAATGGTGTGGCTTTGTCACAATGTATATCGCGTCGAATAAGCAATTAACATTCGGAGAGCAGATGTTGTGTATTTCTCGATAGATAACTTGCAAATCTACAGAGTAAACTTGAAATTTCGTTGGACTCGCAGAAATTCGGGCAGCTTAGTAAATCAGGAAAGTTACTAGATCAAGGTGTTCGAGACATATATCTATGACGTATACGACATTCTGTAGTTCCAAAACATGGATTTTCTCGGTTACGTTCGTAATTAAATGATTATTGTTTTTTAGCTTGTTTTGACAAACGAAGCATTGAGTTTTATCCGTGTGTTAAGAGAATCGTGGCGATTCTGTACAATGAACGTTTTCTTTGCAGTACGAAAATAGGGAATGTGTGTATGCCTATAGTAGATCTGCCATGATAGATCCGAACGCGTCTTCGTCTTATTCCAAAAAAGTCAGAGATTGCTAGCAAAATGCGTGATTTGTATTGTCAGGAGAGCTTCTTTAAGGTAAGTATACTGTTCGGGAGAGAATTGAACTGTTAGATTGTTTCTGTATTCATTAAGAAGAAGGTAAATTCGTTCAGTAAATTGGAGCGCAGCGTGCCTCTAGGAGCGCTCTGGCTCGTCTGCGCCATTAGTGTTCAGAGCATGATCTCCAGATATTCCTAATATATTATCAAAATAGCATATAACTTTGATAAACCATGTTCTCAGCTTGTTATTCGTTACATTTGTGAATCACGTAGGATGTTTCTGACACACCAAGTACTCTACCGATACGATTGATACGTCGGTACCTCGAAATTGTTAGTATCGTATTCTATGCAAAGGAACACAATTTTTTAATTATTTTTCTCTGTTTTACACAGTATTTGATATGTTTATCATTTATATACTTTCGATTACATTCTAGCCAACATTCACGTGATATTTACAATCATTTTTCCGTTTTAGTTTCCTTGGTGTAGTCTGTTGAGCTGAACTTTTCATGATTTATCATATCTACACTTGCTTTTTGTTTAAAGTTTACACTTCAACCAGCACTAATAATTATGAATAAAAATTCGTAAAGTATGAAACATTTGTTGCACTTATGTTATATATGTATTGCTGTGAATACTGGTTATTTAAATAATATTACTTAGTCAATTTGATAGACCTTTACTTCAATGATAGGTTGACATTTTATCTGTCATTTGGGGAGGTATCATCTGAAACAGCACAAAGTGATTTCATAGTTCTACTTCTGTTAAAAAAATGAATGTTGCATTGATTTAAAATCATAACAAAGAATCACACATGAAAGAATCATTTTTTCTGCGATCTGCATACCTAACATTATATCCATGTACTTAAATAGAAATACAGATATGTGAATATTGTTTTAGAAAATTGAATATAGTTTTTATTATTATAATCCTTTGAACCAGTTTTCAATGAATTTTTTTACCCTTATTTTCCAGTAACAGTACGAATTGCAGAATGGTGGTGGATTGCTTATCCATTCAAGGCTCAGCAGCTATAGTTCGGAAGCAGGAGCGTAGATTAGGTGGGTCAGTGGGTGCAAAAATGCAACCTAACAATGTTGGCGGTGGCGGTGGCATGACACCCAAAGAACTATCTGACAACGATGACCTAGCTACTTCTCTTGTGCTAGATCCTTACTTGGGGTTTACCACCCATAAAATGAACATCAGGTAAATATTTTGAAATTACTTTTCATAGTACAAAGTGGCATTGAAATATGAACATTTTATTTATTTTTAAAGGTATAGGCCATTGAAAGCAAATAAAGATGAACTTCGTAAAATTATTTGTGAATTTATTCAAACCCAAAATTATGAAAAAACGTACAAAAAATTAATGGGTGGGGACTGGGGTGCACGACTTCCACACACAAAATCGAAACAACAGCAGATAAATTTGGAGAAACATGTGAGTTATATATTTAAAGAATTTTTAAGATAAAATATTTTATATACTTCTATCTATTTAAATTACTTTTTGTAAATTTGGTTGTTTGCATAGATTTACCGATATTTAAGAGTTTTTGACAAGGACTCTGGATTTGCAATAGAACCTTGCTATAGATATACTTTAGAAGGTCAAAAGGGTGCAAAAATTTGTGCTACTCGTAAATGGTTGAAACATGAGAAAATATCTTGTCTTGTTGGGTGTATTGCTGAACTTAGTGAAAAGGTTTGTTTACTGCAAAGTACAGAATAATGATAGGATACAAGAGTGTTTTATATTTACAAAACTATATTTCAGGAGGAAGCAGCATTACTACATCCTGGAAAAAATGATTTCTCTGTAATGTTTAGCTGTCGAAAAAATTGTGCACAGCTATGGTTAGGTCCAGCAGCATACATTAATCACGATTGCAGAGCTAACTGCAAGGTAAATAGATGTGTCCAGCTTATTTCTATTTTACATTATGTACATATACTCGTAACTTATTCTACTTAATTCATATAAAATACAGTTCGTAGCAACGGGACGAGATACAGCTTGCGTTAAGGTTCTTCGTGACATTGAAGTGGGAGAAGAAATTACATGCTTCTATGGAGAGGATTTCTTTGGGGATGGTAATTGTTATTGTGAATGTGAAACTTGTGAGAGGAGAGGAACTGGAGCTTTTGCAAATCAAAAGCCTGGAGAAGAACTTTCCTCTGGTACTTCAAAAAAACTATTATCTTGAATTACTAGAACTGTATATATACATTTATTTTTTAATTAAAACTTATTATAGGATATCGTTTAAGAGAAACAGACAATCGTATCAATCGCACGAAGCATAGGCAACAACCGATATGTCGCAATAAACAGCAAACCGATACTGCACTCACAGAACGAAATGCAGTGCTTAGTAATGCCGCAATAGCGCCACAGAGTCTTAGCATGAAGGAATTACGAAGAAAAGGATTAACAAAATATGATGCAGAATTGTTAATTGCACAGGGATGTCGATTCTCTGATATTACTCAGCAGCAGCCTATAATAAACAATGGTGAAAACGTGTTACAATCATCTCGACCTCATCCTTCCGCCATTTCTAATTCTGTGACAAGAAATTTACGAAATAAACAGCTAAATAAATTTGACAATAACAATGGTCATCAAAATAATGTCAAAAGTAATCAAACTCTTAGAGCATCCAGGTAAGTTTGTATCTTTATAGTATGGTAGATATGTATGTATAAAGTGAAAAGAGCATTACACTATTTATTTTATACGTAGGCTTCATAAAAGGACAGAAACCAAAAAGAGTAGAGTTTCTGAAAAAACTAGATCTCCTTGTTTAAATGGTTCCATAGTAAAAAATATTGAAGTAGAAGATATAAGTCATCGTAAAGAAGATTCTGACAGAGTGGAAGTAAATGGAGAAGAAATGTATTCAAGGCTACATAAGCCTCTTGAGAGTACCTTGGACGAAAAGATTCACAATGTTCCCCATGTTCAAGCCTCTCCTCGCGATACACCGGAACAATCAACTTGTTCGAATTTTCAAAGAGAGTGTTCACCTACATTTGTCAAAGATAGCAGAGAATTGGATAACAAATTGACGAACGAAAAAGAAGTAACTGATATTACTATAGAATCGAACTCTAATTCGGTAGATAATGTTAATGCTTCCGATTCTATACAAAATCATTATAGTACAAATACCTGTGATTCAGTTCAGATAAGTTCTATACCTGAAACTCGTTTAAATCATTTTTGCGAGGTTAGCAACAAAGAATTAATTTCGCAAGAAAACTGTCAACCAAGAAGTTATCGTTACAGTTTATCCTCAATGACAAATTCTGAAGACATAAAGAATGTTTCTACACTAGCAATTGAGTCGGGAAAATGTGTTAAAAAACTTCTAGATTTCGAAAAGCAAGATTGGAACAAAAAGGAAGAAAATAATTCCGAGAGTACGCACGAGGAACATTTTTGCGAAACTAAAGAACAGAAGTCTCCAATTCATGTTAAGTCGCCCAAAAATTTAAAATTTACCGAAACTGACACAATTATCTCTACATCACTCAATGGACAGAAATCTGATAAGGAATGCAAAAGACATAACCTCGAAAATTCGACATTGGTCAAGTATTCGGTAGAAAATGGAACAGACCAATTGGATACGTCTGTCTCGGATACCGTAAAATCATCGAATAAGAATGAATTTAACGACATAAGTTTTACTAAAGAAAATTTCAATGTAGAAAATAACGAGGAGAACGATTTTGGATGTCGTAATACAGTACTAGCTCATCAAAATGATTTAATAATTAAAAACAATGTATACATAGTAAATGTCGCGAATTCTTCTGAAATGAAATTTGGCAAACCCGATATAATCGAAACTTTAACAACAGATATAGATTCTCGAATGCGCCCATGTAAAGAAAGTAATAAAAATTTCAGTATAATGGCATCTAATATTTACAGTGACACTACCACTCATAACAATTTTGAAGGTAGTCGCAATTTTATTTTGAAACAACCCGTGCAAATGGACGAAATGCCGAACACGATGTTAAGATCTCACAAAAGTAGGAAAAAGCTTTTAAGTGATAAAAAGTCCATAAATTCTGGTTCGAAAGAAGAGTTAGGAATCGCCATAGAACAGAAAACGTCTGACAATATAATTAGATCTATCTCGAAAACTCGTAAAGTTGGAAAAACAAAAAGCAGATTAACAAGAAATCAAAAAAGGGATCGGCAAAAAATAGCAACCACCGAAATCGGCGTAGCTGACGATGATTCGGGTATTCAAGGTGATATCTACGAATTTAGTGAAAAAGAAAGCAATTTGGAGGATATTAGAATACCGTCAATAATGCGACGAGGTAAACAAGAAACTCGCCACACATCCGTACTTGCAAATCATTTACAAGAAATGCAATACAATGACGAATGCAATAAAACCGAGCCTCCAGTATTAATTCCGCAAGAACCATGGCCACCTGCTAGTTGTAATCAAAATCAGTCAGCAGATTCAGATGGCAGTAGCCAATCAAGAGAAAATTCTGTTGATAGCGAAAGTCGGAAGAGGTAAGTATTTGTAAGTCATAGGTGTGTTTCTAGTTTAACAAATTTAACCTATACATCACAGAATATGTATAAACGAATATTAATATCAATTCCATTACAGATTATCAACTTATAATAACGACAGTGTGCAAAAGTCAACGACTCTCTCAGAGTGTCAATGGCAAACGAATAATTCAAATTGTCAAGTTTGTCCAACTACTCCAGAAAGAACCGGCAGATTAAAACTTACACTGCGCATGAAACGTTCACCAGTTTTAGAAGATATCGTGGAATCAGGCACAAGTCTTAGTGAAGATAGTTACGAACCTGAATACGAAGTATTACGCGTAGAAGGCGTCGAAAGAAGTAGACGTAAAAAAAAACATAAAACTCGGGATCGCGAAAGACGGCACAAAAAGCGCGATTTAAACCTTGACCCTCCTCCGCCACCGATGAAAAGGTTGCGTTTGATTTTTGGCAATGAAACACATACCATTGATTTTCCGCATTCTTAACAGCTATAAATAATAATTCATGGTTTTATTCAGAACAAAATTGTAAACACAATGTAGGTGTGTGAAAACAGGCCTCCTTGTCCTGTAATATTATTGACTTTTTAGAGGTCTCACAAAAGGTAGGAAAAGACTTTTAAGTGATAAATGTCGTCAAAAGATTCAGTATAGGGTTTCGAGGATAAAATTAGCATCTTTTATTCTTGCGTTACTCTTTACTGTTTACAATTTTTCCTTGCCTCTTATTCTTCTAACAACGAATGGTTAAAGGCCTAGTAAAGTTTTTCTCAAAGGAAAAAAAAGCAAAAAAATATTCGTTAATTTATTTGCTATTCAGTGAATACTTATCTAACAATGTTGTATAGTTCTATCCGAAATAGTTTACACATAATTATTTTAGTACATCACTCGTTCATAATAAAAACTAGCATCGTATTTTATCTTCATGATAATTCACTTCTCCATTAATATTTGTGTGTACATAATTTTGATAGAAGAGACTGGCTTCATAACCTATGGTCTTTCAAAACCGTTTTATTTTTACCATTAATAAATTTATTTCACTAAACAATTTTTTACTAATAAAGTATTTATATCATACGCAAAATTTACATATAATAAGGGTAATGAACAAATTCAGACGTTGATGATGAATCCTTCCTACAGTTACAAATCGGGAAGGGAAATATTGAGTTGAGCTATTTCTAAGCACTATTTCCGTAGATAAAGAGGACAAAGGAGGAAGATCCATACTCTTATACTATGTATAATAATAGTAATTATTATGATAATTAAATGATAATGATAATAATTAAATAATTAAATTAGTTAAATACTAGGTAGCACATATTAATTGCTGTTCTCGGAATGCGTGATCGATATCATGAAAACATTGTAAATACTGCTTATATATATATGTGAATACATACATATATATGCTTGTACGTGTATGTGTATACATATGCATGTATACAAGCAATTTTATTTCATCCACGATCCATGCATATGTATGTACTTATACGTGAAATTCATTACTATATTCTGCATTTCGATGTATTACGATACCTTGACACCAGATGAACAAGTACTCACGTTACACATAAATATCGTTTATCGAATACAACGGTTGCAAATATAGTGGGGGAATAATCTTTACTTAGCGTGTCAAGTTAAAGGGGATTAGTTACAATAATAATAAGAAGTGTAAGCAAGTAATTATCTCTTTAACGTGGTTTCTCATGTTGAATACAAGGAACGGAACTTTACCGTTAACAGTTTTTTTATGTCTAGAGATGTCGTTTCAGTTATGAAACAAATTAAATCGTTGAGGCTTAAAGCTAAGTTGGAGAAGTTGTGCGATTTTACAAGTATTCAGATCTGAGAAGTTTAGTAGGACAATTTTATATTCACTAGTTTGTTTCGTTCACTTTTTCAAAATAGTTATCATCCGTGCTGTACTTCTAAACTTTCACACTTTCCCAACAAAGTATCATAATTATCAGTTTTGCAAATCTTACGCGTTTAATGTGAATTTTTACTCTGCCAATATTGTAACAAGAAAACCATTATTTATTTTGCACGATCAATTGGATTTACATACTGGAACCATGAGAAAAACAATACATACCAGGACAACTATTAAGTTGTAATAGTCACTCAAATTATTCATATTCCTAGCAACGTTTTCTATATACAATATACAATGGGATAACTTTCAGGAAACATATATTTAATGACATTTTCAATCCCCATTTTAATTTGTCGCCTTTTGAAGTGCATTTCAGCTTTGTATGTAGATCGAGACTCGCCATTAAGTAAATATGTAAAACATTCGAAGAACATTATATAACTCAAGATTATACGAGTTGCCAAAGTCAGTTCTATTGACATATTAAAAACGTTTTTGATATTTTTGTTTGTCAGTAGTACAAAGCTGAAAAATACTTTAAAACATGGTGACTAGTCGAGAGTAAAACAATGTTCCGGTGAAGTAAGCAGTCGAAAGTTTATTTTCTCATTCGTTCGTATAGTATAACGTTTCCTTCATGTATATCTATTGTTAAATTTTCATCTAGCAAAATACGGTCACGGCCGTCGAAACGTGTCGCGGACAAATTGCTGTACATTTGTATTAAATATATGTATATCTTTCTCTCTCTTTTTCGTCCTGTGTTTATCAATAAGATGTACGCGTAACACGAAAAAGGATCACGGCTTTCGAAAGATTGATCAAGAGGGATATAGCAGGTGAAGAAATCAGTATTAGATCAATTAACGCTACGTTTTAAGGGAGACCAGCCATGTTCATAAACGAGGTTTCAAAAATGACTATCGAATTAATTAACGACGATTATTCCTACATTGCGCAATAGAGCATTTAAAATAACGTTAAGAGCGTTCTGTAATTTAACTTAATCATTATATGAAATAGGATGTAATTTTTTCTTGATAGTATGTCCGTTAATCGATCTATAAACATTCTATAAGATTTGTGATAAAACTATTGTATTATTCTCTATTAACTATTCTTATTCTAATGTAGAGCCATCATAGTCACCACTTTTTTCTCTAAGATTTTAGCGAGTTGTCAAACACCAATCGCATTGACCGAATTATTAAAACCTACACGTACTTTTAGATATGTTAAATAGCAAGATCTGTCTACGGTAAAAGAAAAGTGCAAATAACCGTTTTTTAGAATTCCGCTCCATCAGACATTAAAATTGGATTATACTCGTCTTCTAGAACGAAACCAAAAATTCGGATCGTTTTCGATCCGAGTATTTCATCGTTGCGTGTTTAATGAAATTGTAGTGAATAATTTCGATGTAGTAATGTGTAATTTTTGCTAGGAAAAATCAATGGAATATCAACTCGCCGCGAGCTGCGACAAAATGTTCTCGCCAAAACTTTAGCGATGATTATTTAAATGCATATATTTTTTGGACGGGTGGTTGGGGCGAGGATTAGATGAATTGTATCGATAAGGGAACTGACGAACGATTGCGACTCGTTAAAATTAATTTGAGTGCCCTTCAATGTTGAGACTAGCGCACTTTCAAATGTATTTAACGAGAAAAAAATGCAAAAGATTTCGAACGATTATAAATCGAAATGCGTTTACAACTCAAACAAGTTTTTTGTGTTTTCATATGTATATGTACATAATGCATGGCATGTGTGATGTATCCACGCAAATTGTATCCTAACTAGTGCGAGCGCGCAAATACACACACACAGCCATGGCTTAAGAGTGAAGTTTTTTAGTTTTGTTCAGCTTGAAGGTACTCTTTGCTTTCCGTTATCGGGCAGCTTTCCTCTCACTGCCATTATAAAATTGTTAATTCTCTCATTAAATTTAATGCTCGTCGTTCTTAAATTAATAAATACAAAGTTCATGAATACAAAGTGCAATGTTACAATAGCTATCATAAGTGAAACTTGAGTACATGACGAATACTAATTTTAATTGAAAATTAAGTCTCGAGACTTAGTTTTGATAATTTATAGAACTTACAGTTTTGAACGTATGCTGTAACCGTGTTATCATTATTATAATTGTACTATCTTTGTTGATCGAAAAAAACAAAAGTGTATATTATCATTATTATTTTCTACGAATTAAGGTATAATAATAAATGAATTGCATAACCCAATGTATGGATTTATTGCTTGTCACTCGGTACAATGGACGGCAATATATTACAATTTTATCATAACGTAATTACGTAGATGTACGTAAATATATTCGTGTCAAATTACACAAATTCATGTATATACACGAAATTTTGCGTGATGCAAAATGTAAGGCGATAAAATACTGTACTGCTATGTGAATTAAATATTGAGCGCAATGCGTATGTATATAGTTTTTGTTTATGGATAGTATATATCTATTTGTAATATTTATTTTATTATTTGTTGCGAAACGAATATTGAGTTATATGAGAAACTTAACATTTGTATAGAGGTACATGATTCATGTTTAATTATTTATATAATTACGAAGAATTCATGCATATCAAATCATATGATCTTAAATTTGCTTCCAGTTAAATGGTATCATCATAGAGGATGTCCTATTTGATATACGATCTTTGTACACCTAATATTTACTTCCTCAATCCTGTTCCTTTTTAGTTATTTAATTTGGTGATTTAATTTTATATTCATTCGAGAACAAGAAATGTTGTAGCCATCTAGTGGTTACACTGCAGACTAAAATTTCCCCCTCGATATATGCAACCCGCTGTACTTATTGTCAAATAATTACCTGTTACCCTTATCGGTTTCAAATACAAATGATATCAAAGATTTAAAGTCCTCTCACGAATTATAATTATAAATTATTTCTATTAACGATATACTATTACTTACATCGACTTACAGTAATATTGTACAATAATATTCTTCACTTATTCTAGAAAATACAAACTTGCTCACGAAAGTTTTTTCGCTAAAACTATCCAATTAGCTTTATCTCAAGCTCTATCACTGTACGAAACTTCATTAGAATCTTCATTAACGTCTGAGGATTTGTTCTTATAAAAGTTAATCGAATGAATTGCATTACATGATTAGTATATTATTTATAAAATTCCAAGAGTCTGTACTACGAACTAAAGTTGTGATATTTTTAATTTCGAAAACTGTGAATTCAAAATGACGTGTGTTTAGTGTCATATTGTATTTAAATTAAATAAAACTCCGTTATACATGTAAATTAATTATATAACATTGTATAAAAAGCTAGTTCTACCTGTTCTATATACGGTATAGTTTATGGTAACTAAAGGCGTGTATATACTTATATATACTTTAATGTCTAACAACGATTCTGTGCTTATCAAGTGACACTAGTGATACTATTATAATGTTTAGGAAGTGATTATTATTTCGTACATTGTGGTGAGAAAAATGTAATTCAATAATACTGTAACAGATTTTATGAACTCCATTATCAGTAAGAAGATACATTACAAGAAAATATGTATACGCTACATTAAAATATGTAGTAATTATATTATAAATAGTTATTTTATGCGTGTCACTGATAGTATTTACAATGACAACACCCATGTGTGAGGATAGTGGTCCATTAAGAGAATGGGCCCCTCTAGCTACGCTTCTTCAACAGATACCTGCTAAAATTCAAAATGGATTATTTACACATGATATTAACTTTACCTGTATCGATGCAGTGCCTGAATTTATAGCTATTGGAACTAATCACGGATTAGTGTATTGGTTTAACAGAGAGAAGCAAGACCTACAAAGACTTCGATGCGAGGTAATATTTAAAATAAATTTAAATATTCATTCCAATATTCATAGAATGTTCATTTTTTCAGAATGTAAACTCAAAGATCACATGCATTCAAGTAATATCAACTGTAGATTATATGGTAGCCACTGGTAATGAGCACGGTGTTGTAACTGTATTTCAAATACCGAAAAATCCACCAGACTCTTTACCAGATAGTCTAAAGCCAAAGAAAAAGAAGCAGGTAGAACGATACAGTATTAGTGGTCTGCATAGTAGTGCTGTAACAACAGTTGAATGGTCCAAGAATGGAATGAAATTATTTAGCGGCGATCAAGATGGTTTAGTTGTATTGACTGAAATTGATTTTTACATGGTATGTAGCAAAAGATAAGCGTTATAGAGTATCAGTTTTTATAATATATTTTTATTATAAACTTTAATAGCACCTGTCAAAATCATCAGAATTACTAAATGAAAAGTATGCAGTAGTACAGTTGAGTTATCAACAAGGTTTATTATTGGTATCAACAACATTACGTACAATATTAGTGAACAGAAATGAAAATGGAAGAGTAACACAAGTTGGTCAGAAAGAACGTAAAACGTGTGTATTAAGCTTATAGTACGTTATACAAAGAAAGATTGTATAATAGTTAAATATTTCAGATTAGGAAAGCTAGGAGCAATATTTGGTTGTCGGCAAAACTATGGTCAAGAGTCAGTAATTTATGCCAGCAGGCCTGGATTACGTTTGTGGCAAGCTGACAAAACTGGAACTGTATTGAAAACACTTATTTTTAAGGTTTGTACAATGATATTATTGCTGTAAAATTGTTTCTATCAATTTCTGTAATGAAATGTATTTTTAAGGATGCTATTCGAACTGGTCATACAGAAGTAGAACTCCTAAATCCAGCTCCAGAGAGTTCCAAAAAGAATCGCGGAGAACCAACATTTGGTGTTATTTTACCTTTTTGTGACGATTTATTGATCACATATAGCGATGATATTATATATGTAGTGAATCCACAAACTATCGCTATAACTTCCATAGTAACAGACTTGCGTCGCGTTACCGATGTTGCTTGTACTAAAGATGAAATATTTGTTTTGGAAGGAGAAAGGAACGTTATACGTATTGCATATTATCCTGAAACTAATATGTTCTCGTCCGGTAAATATTATATTTTAGTACTTTCTCTAATCTTCTATTCGATCTTTAACGATTAATTAAATTTTCAGAAGCAACAAGTACACTGGATCCTCTGTCATCATTTGCAGAAATCAGTAAACCTGTTACAAATGGTATATTAGAATTAACTACTAAACTAAAAGAAAGTGCAATAGTGCCAGCTATTCCATTCCATAAAATTAATCCAACTAACATCATTCAATCTGTAGGGTAAGATGTAACATGAAAAGTTTCATTTACTTATTGTTAGTATACGTAACATGCAAAATACATATTCAAAATAAAATATTGCTTTCTAGCATTCTACCAATTCTTACTGCTGATGCTGATGCAACTTCAATTGTTCATGCTGAAGAAGCTGTAGAAGTATCACCTGTAATACCAATAAATTTGAATACGTCGCTAACAGTGATCGACGGTAGTAGCGTGACCGAACATAATGAAGCTTCTAGAAAAAAATGTATGGAACAGAACGATAAGCTCAATGATAGAAGACATATATTTCAAAAAATTAGTCAACAAGAATTCGAAGATGTTGTTTTCACCCCAAAAAGAAAAGTAAAAAAATCACGTAATACAGTAACAAATGGGAATGGAAACTGTTCGTCCGATGTCGATGACCCAACCGTCTCAAATAAGGATAAGATAAACGCTAATGATCCCAAAACGACGCATTCTTCCTTATTAACATTGAGCATGGAT